AAGAAAAGGATCACCAAAGATGACATTGGAAAACCAGAGAACTTCCAGTAAGCTGAACTTTTTTTTACTGTTGAATTACCTTTTAAAAGCGGAGATGCTTCTTGAGGACAACCTTTACCTAGGGCACACAAGCCTAACCCGTGGACCCCTATGAATTTCTCCTTGTCTGCACCAAAAGAAATATACAGAAAAGACTATGGAGAATGTAGATGCTGATGCTAGGGTGTAAAGGGTGAAGTCCCCCAGAATTGCTCAATCTAACCTTTGTATTTGTTGCCTCTGTTGCGGCAAATTAATGGTGATTATCAGGGTTGTGGTGTTTTTTCTCTTTTTGCTCTAACGTATTTCGTTATTTACTCTAGAAAGTGCCTTCCCCACAGGAATCCTCAAGGCCAGAATGTCAAACGAGTGCCCCTCTGGAATATGTGCTTCCAACCCCCCCACCCCCCTTCAGTTTCTTAAATAGTAAGAATACAAGGAAAACCAGTTTCTACTGCCACTTTAAATATTTATGACTTTTTAAGCACCCCCTCAATAGAATCCCCTTTTTCCAATGAACACCTCTCCTTTTAGTTGATAGTTTGAATCAGCACCTGGCACTTATTTGAAGAATTATGGGTAATGAAATTTTAAAAACCTTTATTATAGGCATGTTGGACATATTGGCTGGGATCCACAAGGTGGATTTGATGTAAGAAATATTTATATAACAATATGAAATTTAACTTCTATTGGATAAAGCAAGGAGCTTGATTGTTGCAATTTTCAATGGCATAGACAACAAATTTGTCGGTGACCAGTAGCTTTGGAGTGTCTTTTTTTAATCAGAGAGAAACTTCAGGGCTGGATGCCAAATCTTTGAAATATTGTGGTGATCAGTTTTTGTCCCTTTTAGGTGGATAGATTGGATGAGAAATGGAAAGACCTGTTTGCTTTGGTTGGTGTTACTGATGAACAAATGCAGAAAAAGGAGACAAGGGACTTCATCTATGATTTTGTTGAGAGTAGGGGGGGAATTGACAACGTCAGACGTGAAATAGAAATAGAAAAACAAAAAGCTTCAGCACCACGTAAGCAATTGATTTACATCTTTTTTTTTTCACGCCAACTGTTCAAAAAGTGTATTAAATGAAAATTGATTTTTATTTTTTGATTTATTTATTAATGAACAATATTTAGACAAGCTGGCTCAGTTCAGCTGTAGAGCTGGTTTGGCTGGGGGTCTGTAGAAATAATACCAAGGCCAGACACACACTGGGAGCTATGTTCCCTACTCTTATCAAGAAGTGTGTGCGTCCTTTAATATCCCCTGCTACCCTGCTAACAAGTACAGAAAAGATGCAGGAGACGGGGCCAACAGTTTTTTGTCCTTATCTTAGAAGAAGAGAATACCTGACGATTTGCAGATGTCTCGGTAATTAAGCAGCACACTCTCCTCGTACATAAGGCTGCACCCTAAGGGAGAAATGATATATTTTTTTTTCTAAGGAGGGACATGAATCATAAGGCTTTTATTGCGATTTTAACACTTTACATATTATGCCCTAGCTCCACCAGCACCGTCGAGAGGACAATCAAGAGGGCCCCCACCACCCCCTCCTCCCTCACGGGGAGCCCCACCACCACCTCCAACAAGGATAGGAAATGCCCCACCACCACCCCCTCCGTCCCGTGGTGGGCCCCCACCACCCCCTCCCTCACGTGGAGGCTTACCACCACCACCACCCCCTGCTTCCAGGGCACCAGCTCCTCGTGTGGGGGCACCTCCCCCTCCTGCCCCACCCCCTCCTCCACCAATGAGTGGTGCACCTCCTCCCCCTCCCCCAATGGGACGAGGTGGCCCTCCACCTCCTCCACCCCCCGTAGCTGGTGGTGGTGGTCCAGGTCGTGGAGCTCTTCTTGATCAGATTTGTCAGGGAACCAATCTGAAGAAGGTAACAGCTGAAGAGAGGAGGTCAAGTAGCTCGGATGGTCGAAGCGGATTGCTGAGTCAGATCAGGAGTGGGAAGCAGTTGAAGAAGGTGGGGATTACTCATGGTTGACGTTAAAGTAACTACTTTTCCGCAAGGAACCCAAAAATACGTGTGAATGTCACCCATGTTACTCTCTTCTTGTGTGCAGTTTTAGTTACACGTATTTGCGTGCAGAGACGCGCTGAAAGCGTGTATCTTGCGTGGAAATTGCACGCGCGCGTCAAGTGCGTGTGCTGCAATGCACGTGAGCAGTATATCATATGTCCAGACTTGCTGATTGCGTGTCAATTTCAATTTTGTTAGGTATCAGAAGAAGATGGACCACCAAAAAATTCGAAGCCTTCATCCGGCGGTGGAGGTGGTGGAATCTTAGGGGCCCTTCAGTTAGCACTGGAGCAAAGAGAGAAAGCCATCCACTCTTCAGGTACGCGACGGAAATCGACTTGATTGCAAGCCTTATTAGATAATAAGCTAAGTGATTAACATGTAACTTCTCCTAATAATATCCATGCATTATTCAGCAAATAGGTAATGAGAATACTCTAACTTATCTGGTAAAAGTCTTCATCTTGATGTAACACCTAAGTCCTATAATTAAAGTGCATCTAAACTCCCAAATTTTTTTTT